GTCCAATATTCTTTGTCATGGGGAAATGCAAATCAGAACAACTATGAGATTCCATCTTACACCTGCCAGAATGGCTAAGATCAAAAGCACTGGTGATGACAACTTATGCTGGAGAGGATGGAGAGCAAGGGGAATATTCTTCCACTGCAGTGGGAGTGCAAACTTGTGCAGCCACTTTGGAAAAATGGAAATCAATCTACCTCAAGACCTAGGTATACCAAACTTTGAAGTTTCTAAGGGAAAGGGGAGGTCTTGCATCATGGGGAAGTAGCCTTGGCTAATACACAACTTGTGCTGTGACAGGTAGGGGAAAGGGACACACATGACTCCAGCTATGTTACATCGTCACTCTTTGGGCATTGGAGTAGAGCTTTGATAGTAAGACCTGTAAGATGGAACCATAGGCTTTAGATCCCAGGCTGCTTACAGAGGCTAAGGGGAGGGGGAGGATGCTCTAATATCTCCAGCTCTATATGTAAAAGGGTTAGTGAGCATCAAACTCAGAACCTAGCTGCTTCCTGCTGGACTGAATGTCCCTGGGTCAGAATGGATAGTCAGGTGGTCTTCAAGACAGAAGCTGGAATCTGATTCCCTGCGCCGTTGCTCATCTGCAGAACCACGACAGAATCTGTCGGATTTATGACATTTTCGAAAGAATTGGCTGCATACTTTTATTGAGAGGGTGTAGAGGGTTAAATAGAAGCATTAAGGAGTCTAATTTATGAGCTTCCTAGAGGGCACGTTTGACATTTTTCTAAGGTAGATTCAAGGAGGCTGTGGGGAAAAGATTACAGACTTTGTCAGAAGGGTGCTATAAGGGTCATGAAGGCTAAACCCAACTGAGTGACTACATAGCTTTGGAATTCCTGCTAGGAAAACAGATGGGCACAAACCAGCGGGCAGGTTGTTGCTATGGTGGGTTTCTGTGGTTGTTTTGCCTCCGTATATAGACCAGCCCAGCCTCCAGCTCAGTTATCCACCTGGCTCTGTGGGCCGCGGTCCCTGTTATTTTGCAGATGAAAGGAAACTTGTGTGCCAGATAAATATGACCTCATGAAATGTGTGCACTGTAGTAGGGGAATTCCTGTTTGTGGTGGGTTTGTGACAAGGCAATACTTTCTGATGCTGTCTCGTCTCCCCCACCCGGAACAATATTCATCGACTGACAAAGCACACAAAAAAAACGGTGTTGTGCTTCTCTGTTTCTTTTTAAAAGCTCATTTTCGGATTGTGTCTGTTGTGCTTAGCAGCCCCGCTAAGTACAAACATATAACCAGGAAATGTGGGTGGGATTTAAATGAGAAACAGTTTGATTGTCTAGGGTATAATCTGCGGGTTTTTTTAAATAGCTGTAGTATGAAAAGGAATAGAAAAATTAATGGAAGATTTTATTTCTTCAAAATATTTTAGATTTATGTTTTGCCTGCATGTGTGCATATGCACTACATGTATGCCTGGTATCCACAGAGGTTAGAAGAGAGCACTGGGTTCCCTGGAATTAGAGTTACTGCTGGGTTTTGAGAGGCATCCTGTGGGCGCTGGAAACTGAAGCAGGGTCCTCTGGTGGCCATCTCTGAAGACCTAAGGGAAGATATCGGAGGACGGTTATGACAGGAACCGGTGGAGGAAGGCTCAGCCACGGTGAGCACTGAGCCAGCATAAGGAGTTCTTCGGAAAAATTACGAGCCAGGACAGCTCGATGGCTCAACAAGTAAAGAACTTGCCATGCAAGCCTGGCAACCTGAATCCAATCCCCTAATCCAATAAGGTAGGAGAGAAACAACTCCATAAAGCTGTCCTCTGACCTCCACGGGTGTACCATGACTCACGTGAACATGCACACACATCATCCACTCTTGAACAATAATAAACCAATTAATTCTAGCTTTTTTTTTTTAAGTGACAAAGACCAGAGGGCCTCAGAGCATCCTGATAAGTACAACCTAGTTTTAGTTTTTCCTTCTCATTTCATCTTTGATGAAGTATGACTGACGTGGTAGTTTGAATGTAACTGCTCCCATAAGCTCATAGGGAGTGGCATTATTAGGAGGTGCGGCGTTGCTGGAGGAAGTGTGTCACTATTGGAGGTGAGCTTTGAGGTCTCCTCTATCCTCAAGCCATTTTCTGTTGCCTGCAGGATCAAGATGTAGCTCCTTCTCCACTCTCAGCGCCTTCTCCAGCACCGTGCCTGCCTGCATGCCGCCATGTCCTGCCATGATGATAATGGACTGAACCTCTGAAACCGTAAGCCACTCAACTAAATGTTTCCCTGTGTAAGGGCTGTCATGGTCATGGTGTCTCTTCAATAGAAACAATAGAAACCCTAATGAAATCGATTGGAAAAGGAAAAATGTACATGGTTAGGGAGCACTACAGGTTTTGATGTACAGACAAAATCTGCATACTACTCCAATCAAGCTAACAGCCATCTGCTCAGTTTTGACAGTTACTTTAAGTTTCTAAGAATGCTTGCTGACTAGAGCTGTAATCTAAGATCCAGCGCTGCTTAGCGCCTGTTTCCTCTCCTACGTACCTGTTCTGTCCATTCCTAGGAGCTACTGCAGGTATTTCGTTTCTCTTTGCATGCCTGTCAACTGCTGATGCTCAAGTGTGGGAGCTCTGTTGTTTGATGAACATATTTACAGTTGTTAACCCCTTGATGAAACGGCCTGCTTTTCACTGCATGCTGTGCCCCGGCTTTGTCCTTGGATCCCACCTCATCTAGTGTCAGCACAAGCCATTCTTGGTTTTCTATCCTTTATTCCATCCATGGCTTTATATCTGAAGGGAATCGTGTACTTTGTTATAGACTCCAGTTGTATTCATTCCAACCAACTCTGCCTTTCAAGGAGTTTAACTCGCTGACAAAGTAACTACTGATTAGAAAACAGTCCTGACATTTCCCTATTTTCTACCTCCTTCCCCCCACCCATGTTGCATCCATTTCTACCTCCTTTGGTATTCAGTTGACTTAAATGTGGTCAAAGAAAAACAATGTGTGGCTCATTTGCTGCGAACATGAAGCTGTTGACGGAGAAGGCAGCCCTCACCTCCAGTCAGCTTCAGCGTTACTGGCCCAAGTAAAATCAAATGTCTAGATTGCTGACAGAATTAGTCGGAACCAGCTCTAAGCGAGCAGGCTTTCTAAGAACAGGAAGAGTGAGCTCAGGGCCTCTATAACACTACCAGAGAACCCATTCCAAGGCCCCTCTGGACACAGGGAGCTGTTCTCTACTTGTCAGTGCACTTCCTTGGCTGCCGTTCTTCTGCCCTCCCCTTCACCATGGTCCTGAGAGCAAGAACTCTGGTCCCCCTCCCCCCCCCTCCGGACACTGGGCAACCGGTAGCCTCGGCCCCTACCATCATCACGCGCTTTAAAGCGGCCACGACAGCAGCTGTTATGGCAAAAGTGAAAAGCTATTCTTCCAAGAAAAAGGGCATTCAGCTCTTCACACATGAAACTCGGTCTATGAGCTGGTTTTATTCAGGATGTTTGTGTTATTACCATTATAGCCCAGCACTGCTAGGCAGAGAAGTATCCAGATGTCACTGACACCTCTGGATTGAGAGAAGGATACGTGGGATGGGTAAGCACATGAAGAACCAGAGCCGCTGCAGGGATTGTACTGGGGAGGCTCTGAGCCAGACCCCAGCCACAAACTGGGACTAGTCCAGAGCCTCGTTCAAGTCCACCCCACAGGTGCCAGCCTCACTGCAGTGTGAACTGTGCTTGTGTTTTACCCAGGCGTCTATCTCAAGGGAATTCATGAAGTAATACCTATAATAATGATTTGGTTTTGCTTTTTTCTTCCCCTATTAGATGTTATACACAATGTACCAAGTCATCATTTCATGTTTTGAGGAGGTTGCTCTAGAAAACAAACTTCATTCTTAGGGTATGAGGTAAGACGTCTAAGTCATACTTATTATATAAAAGCACAAGGAAATTAGCTACACTAAGCATGGGCATGAACAGCAGAACACAGGATACTTTAAGGCAAAATAGGGCAAGATATGAACAAGATAAAGACCTCATGGATCATACAAACTAGCAAGAATGTAAATTCTACCATCAAAATTGTTTTAGTCTGGCCTGCAGACATACACACAGACAGAATATTGTATACATAATAAATAAATAAATAAATATTTAAAAAAAAACTAGGAATCCTATCTAAATAAATGAAAAGAATGCCACTTAGCATAAATGGCTAGAGTGTTAGAAGCATTTTTAAGTTTTTTTTTTTACATTTATTGTTTGTTGTGTGCTCGAGGGAAGTGCATTCATGGGTACACACAAGTGTGAGGGAGGAGCTTTTAGAATTCCACTCTCTGCTTCTACCATGTGGGTCCCGAGAATCAAGGTCAGGTCATCAGCCTAGACAGCAAGCACCTTTACCTCTAACACCACAGTAGACCATGGGGAAACTTCTAACCATCTCCTTTCTCACATCGTCCTGACGTCTCTTGTATATCCAAGGAGGAAATACTTACTTCTCTTTAAATCTTTTAATTTATGCATTGGGGGTGGGAGGAGGGCAGGTGGTTCAGTCTCTACTTCAGCCTTGCATGAGCTCTAAGGCCTGACCTCAGATCAGCAGCCTGCAGAGCAAGACCTCTTCCCCACTAGTTACTTTGCTAACCCAAGTTGTTTTAAACCTTACACAAGCGTTTTTTATGGAAATGCAGTTTTACATAAAAATAACTAAAACCAAATGAAAGTAAGACTTTCCTAGTTCTTCCTAAGAACAAAAATCTCACCCCTCTCCTGAATGTTAGCTCTCCAGCATCTAGCAGTCTAAGCTGGTGTTGATAAAACAGAATGAAACAGCCCAGCTCCCATCTCAGGGGACAGGAACTGCAATCTGTTCTATCATCCGCTCCCCATGTCTAAAATGAATCACCTCAGCTTACTGAGTAGATGGAGCCGTTTCCCCTCAGTATCTTTAACACATAAAGACTACACAAAACTAACAAAAATATGGAGCCAAACAAACCACTTAAGTATTTTAGGCCTTTTTATTTTAATAAATAACTTCAGTTAATAGCATTGTCAAAATTAAAAGGCACTTAAAACAAGGCTGTGACTAGGGTGAGGGCGAGCGCAGCAGGGAAAGCGTTCGGAAGGCGCACAGTGGTTGAACTGCTGGGCCTGCCCAGGCCCTGTAGCCCTGCAAGCAGCAGGACAGCTTCGAGTGTTTGTGAAGAAGGCAAATGAACAGCCAAGAAAACAAAATGATAAAAAGTCTTAACCCCAAATTGCAAACAGACACATGAAAAGATTAGAAGAAGTGAAAAAGAGCACCAGGAATTAAACAGAACAGTAAAGTAAAATAAACTCATATAAAGATTCCCATTCAGCAAATGCTATGGAAGTTACGGCCTTTGTGTGACTAGTGCTAAGTCAGGGACTTCTTAGCTGAAGAGTTCCCAGGACTTTTATCCAAGCTTGGATTTATAAAGAGAAGGCGTCAGAGTTACGGGATCAAGTAACTCGCAATGGCACACAGGTTTTAAAGCTAAGTTTTTCCTTCCACCTCTCTGAATTTTCCCAATGGCCTTTGTAAAACAACTGTGTCAAAGTGATTTAACTGGAAACTGCCAGCACGCGTGTCTTTCAGATGCAGCACTCTGCTGGCAATCAGTGGCGGTGCAGACGTGGGTGATGCAGCTGCTTCAACTCTGCCCTGCGTTGCCCAGCAGTGCCACTGATTCCAGTGATCTGGGAGGAAGGGTTAAAAAGGCACACTGTGACCTCAGCTGACAAAGATAAAGATCCTTTCTCAAGTCTTCTGTCAGTCCCTGGCATGGATTATAACATTATTTTCAAAATAATAAAAAAAATTAAAAATTATACATATTGTACATTTCCCAAACCTGCATGTGAACAAACCCTGGCCACGGAGCCCCAAAGCTACCCTACGTGACTAAGACGATGCTGCTGTGAGCTCGGCGTTGTGGAATGGGCCTGAGCAGGGCTCATTTTCCCTCATACTTCGGATTGACCACAGTTGTCACCGCACTCTTGTAAATAGGATTTTCACCCTGAAACAAACAAAAACCACCAGTTACTCTCTAAAAATCACAGTGTTCCAAAACAAGATTAAGCTGCAGTTTTCTTAAGAAGCCACTTCCAGTGTCCAGCGTCTGACAGCGCGGCGAGAGGACACCCTTGCCCCAGCAGTCTCGGGCTGTCCCGTCATCCCTGGAGTGCTGCCTCACAAATGGTCTGCACAGCTGCCATCAGAGGCTCCCCTGAAGGTCTGCTACCCAGCTTAAAGAAGCACTTGGACCTGACTCACACACTCTAATGCTTAGGAGTACTTGATACTAAAATGGGGTGGCTGACTTTGTCCCCAGAGAAGGAACTGTGCTCCTGGGATCTTCTATGGACTGACTGATTTAGTGTTCTGGGTATGTTTGTCAGTATCACCCATGGTACTGTGCAAAAATATGCCTAGAATATTAATTACCATTTTTCAATAGCCTAAGGGTGATGCTGATCACAGTTCTAGTCTTGAATCTAAGGCCACTGCGGATTCAGCAGGTGACTCAAAGCCACAAACATTTCTCAAAATTGAAAATATATGCTGACTGTGGTGTTTTAAGCAGAACAATAACAATCATAATTACACAATCACAACTCTGTCCTTGGGGAGTACAGTACGGTGTGTGAAGATATGAAGAAAGGCAATCTGACAGCCTTCACAAGAGAAATGTACACGAAACCAGTACCAGAAAGGGAGGTTCACATGAGAAGTTTTGGAATGCATCCAAAGGAGAAATGACTACAAATGAATTATTGAAAAACGAAAGAAATCTATACAAAGCAAAGGTACAGAGCAAAGAATGCCATATCTAGGCAGAGATACATGCCGTTCATACAGCATACATGTTCTGAGGTGTTGGGAATGGAGCAGACACAAGAGAGGACTCAGCCCTAAGGGCAAGGTCAGCATCTCCCAAGATGCAGCAGCTATGTGAATGCAGTCAGATCAGGACCACACAGCTGACTCACTCCCACCCCTCAAAACACAACTTTTCTGAGCACGGAGGATCCATGCTGGGATGCTGATTAGCTTTGGTTAACTGGACACAAACTGAAGTCTCCCTGTAAGAGGGAACTCTAGTTAAGGAATTGCCTCCATCATTCTGGTCTGTGCCCATGTCCTTGGAGCATTTTCATGACTGATAATTGGGCCCAGCCCACTGTGGATGGGGCCACCCCTGCGCTACTTGGCCTGGGCTATTTAAGAAAGGAAGCCAGGGAAAGTATGCCAGTGCACAGCAGTAAGAATTTTTCTGGGGTCTCTGCTTCAGTTCCTGTCTCCAGGTTCCTGTCCTGAGTTTCTGCTTTGGCTTCCCTTGATGATGGATGGGAAGTAACCTGTAGGCCAAATAAACCCTTTTGTTTCTCCAGGGTGCTTTAGGTCACAGTGTATGTTACAGCAGCAGAATGCAAACCAGAATAGACGGTTGATATCAATGTCAATCTAAACTTAAGTGGGAGATGGGGTTCAGGCCGGATCTGTGGGGGTTTATCTTAAGTTAATTAAGGTGAGATGCCCACTGTGGGCAGAATCATTTCCTGAGCTCGAATATCGTATAAAACGAGAAAGTCAACTGCGCCCCAGCATGTATAACTGCTTTGTGACTCGGATACAACTGGACCGAGCTCCACCTGCTGTGACTTCTCAGTGACTGACCTGCAGCAAAGGTCTTTTCCACTGAGCTGCTCGAGTCGGTGCATTTAATGAGAGCAACAGAAAAGTGCCACACGATCCCTCAAACAAATGCCTCTTATACTTACAACACTGCACAGAATCTCAATCCTCCCCGCGGCTTCCACCGGGCTGTGACCCTAGAACTGTGTTTTCAAACACACCAGGTTTTCACACTGCCATTTAGCTGTCTCTGCGCTAACGCACTTAACACGGTCTAGTATTTAGTGCTTAAGAATTATAAGGGAACAAAACAGAAAGCAAAATATAAAAAAAAAAAAAGAGAAGCTCAATATCTATCATCACAGAGTCTAAAGTAGAGTTTATATGAAAAAAACCTTACCTTTGGAGAAGGTTGCTTTGCCATACACACAAACATTTATATTTATTATTTCAAAGTCCAATCAAACAAAAGTCTAACATGCACGTTAGAGATCAAACTAAACTCGCTGTGTGTATTAGACATCAGTTTAGATGGAGATGAGCTACAGTAACCCGATTAGTAGAGTCACTCAGAGTACAGCCCCCGCCCCAAAGCCGAAGCGTATTTATGTCTGTGTGTATGCAATCCCGGAGTGAGTCCAATTTATGTCTGTGTGTAGGCTACCCCTGGAGTGAGTCCCTTTGTCCACGAGGAACAGCTGACAGCGGTGGCTGCAGTGTTTATGTCACGGTATATGAGGTGTACAATGCAAACTGGGAGGCTTGTAATCCACACCAGAGACGAAGGACAGACCTGATCATTTTTTTCAGTGTCCCGAGGTGGCAGTTTTATATGCTCACATAATTACAGTGTCTGCTAACAGTGTAATTAATTTGTGAGAAACCTTGGTCCCATATCACAAAAATGTTTTTGCATATTTTTTCTGACTTATTGACTCATTAATTTTTATTAATTCCTAATAATTTTTTATTAAGAAATCATTTTAGGATAATCTATAGCCATAAATTTTCTTACATTTCAATAATATATAAGTAAAATTTAAGAAACACTTGCTTTCTTGTTTCAAACACTTATTTTAGTTGAAGAAGGTATATTACAGTCAAAATTAAGTCAAAAATATAAACATTAAGTATAACTAGTAACCACTGATGATTTACAAAGTGCCATTGAATGTACAGAAAGGGCAAACAAGTGGAAAATTCTCCTGTGAGAAGTAACTAGATGAAATTGTTAATGCCTGATAGTTCCCACAAAGGAGAGAAATGAAACCCCAGTAAGTGCACTAGCTAGTCAGTTTCCCTGTAGTAATTACTCCTGCCAAGTACCAGGTGAGAGCGAGGGAATACATCACGTTTTCAGACCTGCATGATCTCAACAATAACTTTCTACCAACAAACTAGACCTTATAGAACCCTGGCAGCAAAAGAGATCCAGCAAGTTATGATTTCTAGCACTATTGCTACTTCCTGTGTCTTTTAAACACACACAATATTCCCATATTTGGGGCTTTCTGCAAGTCCATTTTCATTATTGACTGATTCATGACTGAGTAACTACAGGGCTGCGGGTGGAACTGCAGCTCCCACAGTGCAGCGAGGTTCACTGACGGTAGTCACCGCAGCAGTGCTATTTCTCCCTGCGCGGTAACGCCCTCCTAAAGAATGTATATGAGCACTTTGTTTGCACGTCCAACTTTGTGCGAGAAGAGGGCATCGGATCCCACTACAGACAGTTGGGAGCCACCATGTGGTGGTTGGGAATTGAACTCCAGACCTCTGGAAGAGCAGAGGTCTCAAGTGTGAGCCATCTCTCCAGCCCAAGGAGAGTTTTAAAAGAGGCAGAAACAGGTGGATCAAGTGAGTTCAGCCTGCTTGGTCTACACAGCAAGTTCTGGGATAACCAGGGCTACATATTAAGACCCTGTCTCAAGCAAAAATAAGCAACAAAAATTTTTAGTTTTAAACTTGAAAGTCAGAACCATTTAATACCTAACACACAACAGTATTCTGCTTCTCAGTGAAATATCCACATAATCAAAAACTAGAAAAGTCTCAGAATCTTTCTAGGGTGGGCAATATGAGTTGTAATTGTGAACAACACAAACACCATACTATGGTTTTGCTGTTTTCATTTCACACTCAATTCACTATTCAACCCAGAAGGTGGTTCCTTATGTCACGACCTTCTAACACAGGATAGCAGTCCCACTGCCTCTATAGCCACCCCAGCAACAATCAGCAGCACTACCCTCCCTGCAGACACGTGAGAAGAGCAGCCTCAGGGAGGTGACAGAGCTGGGGGCTGCCTGAGTGTGAAGCAGTCCCTCCTCCCATCCCACAGGGCTGCTCCACACCCGATTGTCTGTAAAGTCCTTCCACGCACTAAGTTAACATACGAGAGAGCCACAGGAAGCCATATAAACAAAGCCAAACAAAACAGCGCTAGTGCTGAGAAACACACAGAGTGCAGTAAAAAAGACAGAAGTTGACATGCAAGGATAGAAAGAGAAAGGAAATACGAACGGCAATCAGAGACCAGCTTTACGTCCATAGTTTGGATTCTTGAAATTATTTATAGGACTCTTGTAAATCGGATTTTCTTGCTAAAGTGAAAGAAACAGTTTCTAGTGATTTCATCAGAAAGAAAATTGGCATGTATAGTGTATAAACACCATAAAATGGAATCCTATTTCTATTCCAATTCAATTCTGAGATTTCTAAATTTAAAAAAACCCAACCTAACTGTAGTAAAAGACACATGACTATTGCAGTTACAATTTAAGAATGCTGATTGAAGACATCAACTCTTGTGTCAAATGTGAATACACAAGGGCCCACACTTAGCCAACTCCCCCCCCCCCATCCTGAAAGCACTGAAACCAGCACACGCCAGGCAGAGCCTGTGTTTCTATTAAGCAAGTTTTACAGAGTTCAGGCCAAGTATTTCCAAATGCACGAACACACCTGATACAGGACTCATGCCAAGAAGGCCCCTGGTACCCAGCCTTCTGGTCAGCCCTCCCATCACTGTAGTCTCAGAACCGCTGACTTGGTTATGTCCCGCCCCCCGAAGTCATGGGGGGAGGGGCTTTCTTTAGTGTAGCCTGAGACACTGTTGATATCATATAAGACCCTACAGTAGACAAATGAGCAGAGCATATTAAAGAAAAACACCAGCCACAATATATGCAGAATATGGATCCTCATAAATGGTCTACTGCAATAGGAGGCTTCTGGTTTCCAGCAAATGCAAATTCTTTGAATAATGAGCTTTAGGGAACGAACTATTTAAATTGGACTTTAAAGGTCAGTCACACGAGTAAAGTTACATATACTTCATGAGCCAACCTACTTCCCAGTAGATGTTTCATAACTTACCGTGTCCCACTTGGCATTCATTTTCTCCTTTTCAAATTTAGCAAATTCCCTTCTGTCGTGGATTATCATTAAAAGCTTCCAAATGAGCAGCAAGGCCAGGCCAATGAGCACAATCCCAGCAACCACACCTGCTACGATAGGGATGATGTCGGGACCGGTCGGACAGTCTGCAAATGAGAAGGTTATGTGAGCATCCAAGGACTGAGAACACACAAAGTTCACAAGACCACTAGAGCTTGGTGGGATCTTACAGAATCAATAGTACTGGAAACTCGCACTACCCCAAAACCTGTCTAAAACCCGCTAGGTTCTAGGCCAGGTAATGTGGCAGGTACCTCTAATCCCAAGAGAACCTCTGAGTTTGAGGTCAGCCTGATCTACATAATGAGACCCTGTCTCAAACAAACAAACAAATAAACAAACAAAAAAAGCTACTAGGTTCTAACCAGGGAGCTTACAAAACTGCAGGAAATACAATCAGTAGGCCATTTATTTGGGGGTTACAGAACATATTTCTTTCCCTAAAGATTGAAAATTTGAAAAAATCCTAAGAGCATCAGAAATAATGAAAAGCTTATATGTAATTAGGAACGTGATCTTCAGAATTATAAAGTACTAAGCAATGGCAAAAAAAAATACACAAAAGATGGTTGGCAGCCACGCATGGCAGTATAGGCCCACACTCAAGAGCAGAGCTGTAAGACTGTCACAACTTCTAAGTCAGCCTGGTCTACGACATGAGTTCCAGGTCAGCCAAGAGCTGTAAGGCAAGACTGTCCCAAAACCAAACAAAAAGAGTGAGGTAACTGGAGAAATTCCTTATGTGCATGAATAAAGGTGCCTGGCAGCAACCGCTCCCACCACACACACGCTATATTTTAAAAAGGTTTTTTTTCCTCGCACTGATCTGCATTCTGCTGTGATGTCAAAGCAGTGTCACGACCACTGCAGAAATCAGCAAGCCCCTGCCTATATCAACACCCTGGGACACTCAGTGCAGAAAACATCAAAGAAACAAGAACAAGCACTCTGTGTTCAAAGACTGCTGGGACGAGGGAAAACACAGGCACACCCGGCAGCATTCAGAGCTCCTAGAGCTGCAGAACACAGCAAAGATGGCTCAGTGGGTAATGGTGCCTTTGATGAGGCTGACAACCTGCTTTACACACACAGACACACACACACAATAAATACATTTCTTTTTTAAAAACTAAAAAGTTGGACAATTTCCTGTAATAGATGCTCACCATATGTTCTAAAATACATTCATTAAGGGAAAAAAAAAACTAGACACAAATAATAAAGAATGACAAAGAGGGCTAGAGAGATAGCTCAGCAGTTAAGGCACTGGCTGCTCTTCCAGAGGTCCTGAGCTCAATTCTCAGCAACCACACGGTGGCTCACAACCGTCTGTAAGGTCTAGTGTCCTCTTCTAGCAGGCATACAGACAGACAAAACACTGTAAACATACTAAATATATCTTTTAAAAAAAATGATGAAGAATCTTCAAAGGCTATGAGAGGAAAAAAAAATAAAACTTGCTTAATTTTAGGGAATTTGAACAAATTCACATTAATAACATTTTTAAGAAAACCTCTCCCAATACCTATAGCTAAATCAAACTCAGACTTAAATATCATCAATAATGCTGTTTCTATGAACAGATTATTGCAGGTTGTTTCTGATGTCAGAGCACAGAAAGAAGGCATCTCCCAACCTCTGCCTACCTGGAGTCTCCACAACATGCACGATGGCCTCGTTGTTGCCATTCACCGAGTAGGTGAAATAGAACCAGCAGTCATCAATGTCCTTCTCCTTGCAGTGGGTCACGGGATCGACCTGCACTGGCTGGGGCAGCTTGTCCCTGCTTTCCACCTTAGTGAGGTTGAAGTGGGAGCACTCCTGTGCACACGTGTCTTTCTTTTCTCCTTTGTTGAACGCTCGGCACTGAACACATTCTCTAAGACAGAAATCGGTACACTTAGCATGGATTAAGACGGATTCTGCTTAGAGCACTTCACAGGCTAAACTAATGGCCTTGCTGATCTAAGGGCAGCATAAGCACAGAGGAACAGTGACAATGTGCTCCACAGGAGAGCCCCATCTCCAGCACCCTCAGCCAAGCACAGCCACTAAGGCCAAGCACCACCCTGGCTGGCGAAGCTGCAGACAGAGTAAGGGGACAAGTAGGGCGTTCTCCAGACCTACCCTGGGCCATGTGCACTGGAGGCAAATCACCCAAGAAGCCTCTCCTTACCAAAGCTGCTGGCAAGCTCATGCCCTCCACTGGAGGAGTAAGAACTTCAGTAAAGGCCAGTGCCTGTGGGGCCTGGTAAGACCAGGCCTTATCCAGGGTTTGCCCAACATCTGATTAGCAAACTTCACTTCCTAGTCGGCTTCAGACCTGACATCCACAGCACAGCTATGGGTGCTGCACAGACGCCAGTGAGGCCTGCACAGTGGATCCTTCTCGTAAAGACATCAACGTGTCTGTGACAAACCTCGAGCACATATGTTCAAGACTACCAACGAGCAAACTGCAGACCTGGGGGATATGTGTAAGTCTAGTCTAAGCCCATGGTGGTCAAGCATGGGGTCCTAGCAGTCCAGCATGGGGAGGCTGAGGCAGAAGGACCTCAAGTTCAAGAACAGCCCATGCTCTATTCTAAACTGTTTACAAATTTTATAAAAAACATTAACAATTCAACATTCTTCAGTGAACAAACTAGCAATTCAGCTCTATAGGAAATGTAAGTAAACCAAATGCATTTTCCAAGTCAATACTAAGACCTGGATTTTTCTTACAAATAAACTTCCCATTAATACATTACAAAAAATACTAGTCTCCAAAACAAAGAAAGGTGGGGCTGGGAAGGTGGCTCAGTTAGTAAGGTGGATGCCTCAGAAGCATGAGGGCTGGAGTGCAGATCACCAGAACACATGTAAAAGGCCAGTCATTTAATCCCAGTGCTGGGCAAGAGCCAGGGGGATTCCTGTCCTAGCCTACGCAGCAAAGTTCCAGGTCAATGAAAACTCTGCGTAGACAAAGACAGAAGGTCTGAGAACAACAACCAAGGTTTTCTGACCTCCATGCCCATACATACACGTGCAAGGATGTACATACACCTCCACAGCATAAAACTGGACCGATATCACACATAAAATATGTAAGATAACACAACAATAACTTAAGCAGCAAACATGTAAACAGAACACTGTATACAGAATAAATAGATTTAAAAAAGAATTTTTAGGTCATAGAAAATGGGATACATAAAAAGCAGCAAATACTCTCCTTGAAGTGTGACGTCTCAGCCCTCTCCTTGGGCTCTACCGGGGTCAGCACAGTGAGTTAACTCTGAAGCAGCCAGGCAGTACTTACTTATGCTCTGCACAGACGCCAAGGCAGGTCTGACACGTCTCGCAGGTTGGCCCTTGAAACTTGGGATCTGTACACTTACAGGCCCCACACTCACAGATGCCCCGGCCGTTGCAAATCTGACCATTTGATGCTACACACGGAGCAGTGTCCAAGGAACAGTCGCACGCACTGCCAGTGTAATTGGGAAAGCATTCGCACACGCGACACCTGCAAACACCGTTTCCTGCAACAGAAAAACATTTCTCAAAACAAGGGTAAAATGGGCCATGGCAGCAATTATTCACACGTCAAAACCAAGCCGCAGCACAGACGAGAGCAGCTCTAGTGGAAGGTCTGCCCTCGGGTGACCTCACCAGAGGCCCTGCACTGCGGAGCTGCGGCTGGGGCTTACTCACCTCCACAGATTAAGCCATTGGATCGATCACAGTTGAAGTTGTCACACTCGCAGAACTTGCCAGAGTAAATCTCGTTGGTATTATCTCTCTTCCTACACACGCACTGTCCGCAGACACACTCCCCATTGTTACTGCAGATCTCTGAGCTGTTCTCCTTCCTGCAGTAAGCATCCATGTCTTCGCTGTTCACTTCGTCTGTGCTGCACTCACAGTGCCTCCCCACACGCCCCTCATTGCACCTGTCAAAGACCCCAACAGTCCATAAACAAAAGGTGTACAAAGCAATCCCCTCACACCAGCAAACTGTCAGCTAGGGATGCCCACCCTGCACTCTCAGATGAGAGAAGTGCATGTGTTTACACACGCACACATATGCACATACGCAGCAGCAACACAAGTTCTTATGGAACAAAGAAGGGGCCTCGGGAAATTCATCTTCAGCAAGGAACCATTGTGACCAAAATGAAAACATTCTAGCAACAAAACAAACAAATAAATCCCAGCACTCAGGAGGCCGTGGCAGGTGGATTCCCGTGAGTTTGAGGCCAGCCTATCCTACAGAGTGAATTCCAGGACAGGTTCCAAAGCTACAGAGAGAAATCCAGCCTCAAAACAAACAAACAAAATATCTGGGAAAGTAAAACAAAATCTTTTGGCTTTTCGAGACAGGGTTTCTCTGTGGCTTTGGAGCCTGTCCTGGAACTAGCTCTTGTAGACCAGGCTGGTCTCGAACTCACAGAGATCCGCCTGCCTCTGCCTCCCGAGTGCTGGGATTAAAGGCGTGCGCCACCATCGCCCGGCACAAATCCATTTTTCAAGAAAGTAAGATTCTCTGTAGACCAGGTTAGCTTTGAACTCAGAGATCTTCTTGCCTCTGCCTCAAAATGGCAAAGAATTTTTTTAGAAAATCTTTTTTGAGTCAATGCCATTTTACTAAAAATGGTATTTTTTGTTTGTTTTCTGTTTTCGTTTTTGAAGAGAGGGTTTCCCTGTGTGGCCCTGTCTATCCTAGAACTCATGCTGCAGACCAGGCTGGCCTCAAACACAGAGATCTACCTGTCTCTGCCTCCTGAGTGCTTAAAGGTGTACATCACCACGCCTGGCCTAAAAAGATACATTAATGATTCAAACAAGAAATAATACAATACAGAAAAAAAATATAATATTTAAATTATTATTTAAAATGGTAATTAAAATTTGATGGTAGCTGGGATGTGGTTATGCAAACCTTTAATCCCAGCATTCGGGCAGGGTGCGGGGCAGAGGCAAGCAGATCTCTGTGAGTTCGAGGCCAGCCTGATCTACAGAGCAAGTTCCAGGACAGCCAGGGTTACACAGAGAAACCCTGTATTGAAAGGCAGCCCCCGCCAAAAAAAAAAAAAAAAAAAAAAAAAAAAAAAACCACAAACTAAAAATTGATGGTAAACATAGCTGTTCATTTTTCTTTTGGGCCAAAGTCAAAACCACAGTGGGACTGACATTTAGATTTAAAAGTTCTATTAGAACTTTGGAAGAAAAGGCAGTTTAATTTTTAGATGGCTCACGGGATAAAGGTGCTTGCCACCAAACCTGACAGCCTGAACTCAGGGCCTGGGATTTCACATGGTAGATGAAGAACGAACTCCCAAAATTGTTCTCACCTCCACAAGCCTGTCATGTGTACACATACACGTACACACACACACATAAATAAATAAATGTAAACTTTAAGTACTATTTTCTCTTTATCCCAGCCAAACAAAATTAATCCAGTACAAGGAAAGCACTGCTTTCTCTTGCTAACTAATTCGTAAATAAAACTGTCAGTTAACACTGGGAGCAGTGGCTTCTACCTATAACCCAAGTACTGAGGCAGCAGGATCATAAACCTGGGGTCATCTCAGGCTACAAAACAAGACCCTTTCTCAAAGTAAAACAAAATTTAAAGGAAAATCATCACTATCAGTTTGACAGTTTCTCCGAGTCTCCATCTACTTCTTTTTCCCCAGATATCTTTGCTGCAGCGAGCTGGAGTGTTAGAGCTGTCAGGAGAGCAGTCTTTGCAAGGCTGCCCTGAGACTGGACACCCTGCTCACCTAGCTCAAGCTTCACCGTGGAGTGAGCAGAGAGAGCTTTGAGTATGTGAGCAAGTCACGGAGCAGACGGCTTAGGATTTTATTCTCTACGGGCGTCCCCAGCAAAGTTGCCTAGAATGTGCCTGCCCTGCCGCAGCCAGGCTGCACTCACCTGCAGGCTCCACACTCAAACGTCCCGTTCCCCTCATGGCACTTGGGACTCGCTGGAATGCCATGGCTTTGGCAATTGCACTTACAGATGAACTGAAGAACGACCTCTACTTCTTCAGTGAAGCCTAGAGGCTTAATTTTAATGGTTTCAGACTCCTTATTTGGACATTTATTTGCAGTTATGCTTATTTCAAATTGAACCTTAAAAGAAAAAAATAGATTAACAAGCTTAATAAATATAGAAATATTTCAAAAGCTATTCATTTAATGTTTCTCATTAAATTAATTTTAACTTTTTAAGATTTATTTATTTTATGTGTATGCACCAAGTGCATGCAATGCCCACGGAGGTCAGAAGAGGGCATCAGGTATCCTGGAACTGACCATATATGGGCACTGGAAATCAAACCCAGCCAGGGCTTCTGCAACAGCAACCAATGCTCTTACTAACCACTGACCATCCCTCTAGCCCCGAAATTAAACTTCTTTACACGTGCTTTTCTTTTTCACAGAAAACACTCATAGAACATACCTCATCTCCAATGGAAATATTGGAACACTTTCGCCCATTTTCTCCTGTCCCGTTCACCCCGTTCTTGCAGTAGGATTTGTAATTTATTGTTACTCCTTCCGGCAATTTGCTGTTTTCCAGAATGACTTCTGAAGAAAGGGACTAAGAGAAAGATTAACCATCAACAGGGAAGTAAAATAAAATATGACTTGAACACACACACAAAATGGATGAAATGAGATGTTATGAAAACACTATCATTTCAATACAATTAATTCACGGGGTGCTAGAATCTAAAGTAAGCAACTCTAAGAAGGGTCCAACCTTCAAAACAATGAATACAATGTAAAAGTGTTTCTTTTTATTATTATTCAGCTGAAATGCTAATGACCTCACAGCAAACAGCCTGGGTATGAGGAATGCTAAGAACACAGAACTGATGCTTGCTGCTCAGTTAGGGTTAGGGTTAGGGTGGTGTCACACAGTATCCACAGGCTCCCTCTGGTCTACCCCTTCCAGCTAACCAGAGATCAGAACAATAGGGCACACAAGTTTACTGGGGACCACTGGCATCTGGTCACCTCCTAAACACTCCCTAGAGTCTGAAGAACTAGAATTTAGCTCGATGACCAGCACTGCCCAGCAGCCACAAGGTTCTGGGCTTGTTTCTCAGCACTGACAAGGATCAACTACAGGGACAGCCGACAGGCTGAGTCCAGCCAGTAGTCTTTAGAAGAGCAGACATCTCAGGACAGTGACCAGTGAGGAAAATAGTCTGTCAGGGCAGACAAAGGCTGGAACGGGAGGATGTGAAACAATTAGAATCTGTTGTCTTTGCCAAACCCCTCTGAGCCAAAACTTTTTCCAAAATGTCTTGGGACTCCAGGCACAAAAGCCAGGCATGATGGAGCACACCTGGCAGGTGGAGGCAGGAAATCACAAGTTCAGATCCTGGGCTATACTGAGAAGTCAAAGTGACCTGGCCCACATGATACGGTCTCAAAAAACACTAGGGCTGGTAAGATGGATCAGAGTGTAAAAGGAGCGTGTCTCCAAGCTCTCAACCTGAGTTTGATGCCAAATCCACATGGTTGAAGGAGAGAACCGCACAAGTTGTCCTGTGACCTACACACATACTCTGAAGGTAAAAACTATTTTTAATCTAAACTTAACCTACCAAAGACTAGAGATCTAGGAAATGGTCTATACAGTATATAATAGTCACCATGAAACTGCAGGTGCCCGCGGGTCATTTTAAATGATCACTGGCTGGCACTTACTGGGAACCGTCACAAGCATTCTGACTTATGCTCCTCAATGGAGAGAATTCCGCTAGTTTCAGTTCCCAAATGGTACGCTTATTGCCTATGTATGTACATACATCCGAGAGTGTGACTACTACTGAAAAAAAGAGAAGCATGTCCTCGGAGTTTGTCTTCTGAAGAAGTAAAAGATCCTTGTCAGGCATCATTCATCAAAAATGGAGAATCTAGCCAGGCATGGTGGTGCACACCTTTCATCCCAGCACTTGGGAGGCAGAGGCAGGTGCATCTCTGTGAGGACAAAGCCAGTTTGGTCTACATAGTAAGATCCCAGACAGCCAGGGCTGCATAGAAAGACCCTGACTAAGAAAACAGTAACAAGTGACTCTACAAAGGGAGCCTTGGGCAGAGAAAGAAGAGCTGTGTGCATCGAATGTCAGCTGGGCTTCACTCTTGCTCCAACTGGGAGAACATGGCCTTCAACACATAAACAAGGGCTTGTAATTGCCCATGTGCCTTTATCTGAGGATTACTGCTTGGCTTAAATTATGCTCTCATAAGCCTGACGCTCTGCCCTGTCCCTCCAGCTTGCTGACGCGTGTACGGTGGGTGCTTTACTGCGGGCATGAAGCTGAGCAACGGAGGTGCACTCACATTGTAGGCATCGATGATCAGCTGGATCACGTTACTCGAGTTTCCAGACAGTGTGCCCACTGCAGACTTAGGGATCAAATTCTTCAGTTCCTACAATTAAATATGCAAAACATAAGTATTCTTTATTCAATCAGTTATAATCCATTGAAAAGCAACAATTATTTTGACACCTCGGGTCTCTATTCTATCTTTCAAACTCAAATCTAAAAAAATACAAAAATCTTAATGAGATTAAAAATATTGTAAGTGGTCAGGCAGCAATGGCGCACGCCTTTAATCCCAGCACTCAGGAGGCAGAAACAGGTGAATCTTAGTGAGTTTGAGGCCAGCCTAGTCTACAGAGCAAGTGTCAGGAAAGCCAGGGCTACACAAAGAAACCCTGACTCCAAAAAAAAAAACAAAAAACAAAAAAACCCACAAATAAGCAAACAAACAAACAAGATAAAATGAGTATACGCAATGTTTGTCAAATTTGGTGTGGCTACGTGGTAGCATTTTCCTATCTCAGACATAACTCTGCTGCTAACGATAAGCAATGGAAGATCGAATCTCTTGTCCTTTACCTTGTACACAGGCTGGAACTCTTCAGTGACCGCGAAGATCGTCTGGATGTTATTTTCACTGAGTTTCTGGACAAGGTGGGCAATTGAGGGATAATCCTAAGGAATCAAGTAATATAATTTAATATATAAATACACTTTATAATCAATGATGGGTTTTGTTTGGGTCCCCCTCTGTTGCCCAGGCTGAATTCCCAACTGCTAATATGACCGTATTTGAGTTGGTATGCATTCACAAACAAATCACTCCCATACACTACTTTCAAGTAAGAGCATCAAACATCAGATATCCCAAGCCGGGCGGTGGTGGCGCACGCCTTTAGTCCCAGCACTTGGGAGGCAGAGGCAGGTGGATCTCTGTGAGTTCGAGGCCAGCCTGGTCTACAGAGCTAGTTCCAGGACAGGAACCAAAAGCTACGGAGAAACCCTGTCTCAAAAAAAAAACCCTCAGACATCCCAGAACCGCTGAGTGGGTCACACGTGTATTTGTTTCTCTTTTATACGTTCAAGGACTTCCATACTGTAAGAAACTTCATGATTTATTCTTATTTTATGCTCACTCTGTTGTGCCTGCATGTATGTCTGTGCAAGGGCGTCAGAGCCCTAAACCTGGAGTTACAGACAAGTGTGAGCTGCCACATAGGTGCTGGGAATTGAACCTGGGTCCTCTGGAAGAGCAGCTAGTGCTCTTAACTGCTGAGCCATCCCTCCAACCCCATTTTAAGATATTTCAGATGTGAGACAATCTATGTACATTAACTGTGAAGACAGTGAAATTAAGGAACAAAACTAAAGGCTCCTGTTAGCTAGCACTTAAGGCCATGATTTACCAATACTGAATTTCTCCTAGATCGTAAGTGATCTGCCTATATTTACTTTCAATGAAGACCAGAGTGCAGAATTTTAAGTGATATACATAAGACAGAGAGGTAAGCCTAGTTAAATTGTGCATTTAGAAATATGACCAGGAAGCTGCCAAATGATGCGTGCAAGTGAGGAGCCAGATGGGTCTCAGCACAGCACAATGCCAGAGTTTCGCAAACAGCAATGCAGCTATCCAGGTGGTCAACAGGGCCCACACTTGCCAAAATAAGAAAGCTGCAAATCCACTGTCCCACATGCTCAGTACCAGGTGACGGCTTAAGTACTTACGTAATAATGGCTCATTGTGTAGACGTTGTTTTCCAGGTGACACTGCCCATCATTTGGTAAAACAATGCCACCAAGTTTCCCATCTCCAGCAAAGTGAAAGCCAGCATCCGTAGAGAACACCAACAGTCGCGTCACATTCCTCCAGCCAATCAGTGACTTGAAGATAGAGAGGTCAACTGTAGACACTGCTCACAGTAACTCAACATAAATCCTTCAGGCTCACAAGCTGCAACTGCACTTTTCACCTAATTCTGCATCACTGTCTTTCTTGTCCAGTGCTGCTGTGAGTGCAGACAGCCTCCCTGGCCCTCCTCCAGCACTTCACAACATACACACGACATCTTACTTGCCCGCCAATACTGCGGGTTCCGAGGACTAATGAACACACAGGGGCAGCGTCTACAACTCCGGGTCCTAGTCCCAGCCACCCCGCTGTGCACCCCTGCTGTCTACTATGCCGTACACTTCCTTTATCGGCCCTCTCCTCTACATTAGCCTTTATGCAACCTATGCTATCCTCAAACTTACTACACAGCTGAGGATGGCCTTGAACTTTTGACCCCCCAGCCCCACTTTAACCCTTTCATTCTAGCTCATGAAGTTGTTCACTTGTGTAATTTCACATGAAAATCCTCTTCTATGAGAAAACTACATTTTTTTCCTAAATTTAAACACGTTTGTAAATTCTTTGAAGGTAGAAATTGTTTCTTTTTTCTTTCTTATTTTTGTTTGTTTATTTATTTATTTGAGACAGGGTTTCTCTGTGTAGCCGTCACTGTCCTGGTCTATAGACCAGGTTGGCCTCGAAGTCACAGAGATCCACCTGCCTCTGCCTCCTGAGTGTTGGGATTAAAGGCGTACACCACCACTGCCAGAATGAAATTAAGTTTCTTGATTCTGATCATCTTTCAAAGGAGAGTTACCTGCTCCTTTGTCCCTAAAGCATGACAAATGCAGGGACAGCCACGGCTGGGAGGTGAAGTGGGGTAGGTATATGATCAGTTTCACACTGCTGACCGAAGCAGAGGCACACAAGGAAACGGCTTTTCAGAGAGTGGAAATCACAGCACTCTACAGGCAGTGGTCAGTTATGTGTCCTGGGAGCTGTCTACTGTTATCCTCCCCAATGGCACCAAGTCACTGCCCTTCCTCCACACCACACAGTGCTTTACTCACTGTCTGGACACCCACACTTCTCCCGTACACAGAGACAGAACAATGCTTTCTGCTTTCAGCCTCAGTTCTCATTAACTTGACTGTCGGAGTGGTAGAACATATGTAACCCCAGGACTCAGGTGACAGAGACAAAAGCATCTCTACAAGGTCAAAGGTAGTCTGGGGTACACGGCAAGACTAGGTCTCAAAAAATAAAAAAAAAAATCAATCAAGAATATTCATGAATCATAAGTAGATAGTGGTCCCTAGTTTAACAGAACTAGGCTTTCTATCCCTGAAAACCTTACAGTTAAACCACAGACATCTGCTTATACTTTCATTACAACCTAAGCTGTCATATGGCTTAATCAGGCCCTTGAAAGTTCTTTCCTTCTATTATTAGACTGAGGAGCAGAACACAACAGTGAGCTGAGGAACATGGTAGGAGGCACGGTTCCTAGTGACACCCCAGACAACATCAGTGACATCTCCAGTACAGAGCCACCGAGTTAGGACACCTCAGCCTCCTCAAAAACCCAACCACCTAGAGTCTATGCTCCAGTTCCTCAGGAGTGAATTCCCTGGCTGGTTCGAACAGAGATGCAGTGATGAGGGACAGCGGAGAAAGCGGCAGGGCTAGGTGGGAACTTAGAAGACTGACATCAGTACTCCCCCACGTAAAATAAAGTGATGGCAGATAATGCTAAGAGTCTCCTGCAGGAATCACTTACTCCACAAACTGCGACCTGCATGATGGCATCAAAACCACCTTCTGGAGAGTCCAAGTTTCCAGAGATGCGCTGCTGACCAACAAGTTCATTGAAAACCTCTCCTCTGTTAGTAAGACTGAGCACATTTTTGTAGCTAAAGGGGCTGGTGCAGTTCTGTTCACTCGTGCAGGGGTTCCTGAGCTTCGCTGGGGTGGTGCTAATGTACGGCATCACAGTTTTCTCCACGAATGAGCCGAAGCCTGGAGAAAAGAATGCACTCGGGTAGGTGAACGGGCAGAGACCAACACACTTACAACACTTTTCAACTGATGTTACTTATTTAGGGAGGGCACGTACACGAAAACCACAGTGCATATTGAGAGGTTGGAGGACAACTTGCAGGAGGTTGCTTTAGTGACTGAATTCAATCATCAGGATTGGAGGCAGGGACCTTTACCCACTGAGCCAACTTACCAACTCTAAACAAACAGCTTCTTCTAAACCCTAGTATGGAGGCTGCAGAGACTGCACAGTGGGCAAAAGCTCTTGCTAAACAGGCATGAGGATTAGTTCAGATCTTAGCACCCAGGTAAAAGGTCAGGTACAGTCACACACACCTGCACCCCAGCACTGTTGCAGGAAGAGATAAGATCACAGGCCATCAGCCTAGGTTAAGTGATAAACCATGTCTCATGGGACCAAGACAGAAAATGATAAAGACACTCAACATCCTGCTCTGCACATGTGCAGAAGACCACACACGCGCACACACGCACGCACACACACATATGCACGCGCGCACGAAAATGATGCTCCAAACATCCCTACCAATGCGGAAGTCTGAAGTGATCCTCCTCATCTCATTCATCAGATCTGTGCCGAGGCTCTTCACATTCTCCAGATCATCTTTCATAGAGTAGGACAGATCCATAAGGTAGTAGAGGTCAATGGGGTAGTCTTCAGCCCTTTTGAATTTTAATGTAAACTTCTGTGGTTCTCCTAATTAAACAGATTCAAAATTGTAATTAGGTGGCCAGTAATCAAACTAAAATTAGAAAAATAATTGAATAAAAAAACAAATTCAATTTATATACTCAATGCCATAGTCTTGAGTGTATAATTTTCACAAAACCAAGAAGTCTGTTAGAGCCTCAACAGGCGCACACTTAATCTCGTTTAAAAAAACTACTTATAACACCAAGACTCAGGGAGGCAAAAATGATAAAGGCAACGCCCTGCCCCCCCCACGAGTAACCCACGAGACAAATAATTCTGCTACAGTTTGGATCTGCCGTGTATCAGTACTATCAGGAGGCACTTCAAAGTTTTGGGAGGTGGAGACCAGCAGGAGGTTTGGGTTACAGTGATGTGCCCTGGAGTCTATATGATATGACCTCCTCGCTGTAACGTCACCTCCCAGATGCCCATGTGACGTATCTATCACCTCACCAGCTCAGCGCAGCAGGCCAGTCCCCCAGAAGGAAACTTCTAAAACTATAGGCCAAGCAGCTTTTTCTTACTTTAAGTAGCTGTTCCTGTAATCACAAGCTGATTACACACAAACTTATGAGGAGAACAGAACACCACAAACTTGGGCAGACACTCTGGAATCCAACAGAAAATCAGGAGTGGACTGTTCCTGGGTAAAAAGACATTGCTAATGGAAGGTGGGTAGCAATCTAGTTCACTCTAGGGTTATAAAAGTGAGGTATGGGGTAAAGAGGTCAGGTATAAACTACAGGGAGATCAGCAGCAGGAGATGAAAATGGTCTGAAGACGAGGAAGGTCGGGGGTACAGATGTCACATGACCCTCACCAGCACAGAGCTGAGACAGCTCAGTGGTGGAGCACTGGTCCAAGTTCTGTCTCCAGCACACAAATCACTTACAAACATGGAAGAAGACGAAGAACTGGGTGGAAGACGTTTGAGTGCTTGGATGAGAAACCCTTAGTCTTGTCTCCATGGCCTTCTGGCAGGCAGCTGGAGGGGGCGGGGCTAAGCTGAAAAGTCTGTGCTGTTGTAGACTATGAATGGTTTACAATGACTTGAGAGGAAAACTGTCTCTTAAGAGAAATGCAGAGGGATGAAGGGAAGAAGCACAAAAAGGAAACTAGAGGCAATGGATGGAACTGAGAAAAACAAGGAGTGACATCATGAGCCTCTTCCAGGCTCCCCCAGTGCAGAAAGGCGTGAGGTAATGATGATGTGGGATGGAGAGGTGAAGAGCACGGCTAACATATATATATATATATATATATATATATATATATATATTCATACAGGCAAAACAAACACCTAAAAAATGTTTTAAAATAATAGCGATAAAAATAAAACGACAGTTTGGGCTGTGCTAATGAGGCCTGCAGGTCTGCAGTGCAAGGTGACAGTGGCGCTCTGCTGGAGAAGCAGGAATCTGCACTACGAATTTTGCTCCTTGCTATGACCTAACACTGGCACAGCAGCTTAGGAGGAGAAGGGTTTATTTTGGCTCAGTTTCAGGGAGGCCACAGAGGCTGGGGCAGGTTTGTCCTCAACAGTAGGACCATGAGGAAGCAGCTTTCCATAGCCTGGCAAATTAGGAAGACAAAGGCCACAGAAACCCACTCTGCCAGCCAAACCCCACCAACTGTGGGCTCCACAACCTCCTGAAGCAGAACTGTGAGCCTGTGTAGGACATTTCACATTCAAACCATAGCAGTGTCTACTCCTAGGCTGAAGGTAGGACAACAGACAGAAAGACGGCTGTCTATTTCAGACATGGGACAGGCATGGGTACCTATAAAAACTTGAAATAGTACTAAACAAGTGCACGCATTAAAACTTTGCTTTCACATTATAAAATTATAGTAACAAATGGACGCTATTATTTTTAAAACTCAGAGTTTGCCGGGCTATGATGATGGCACATGCCTTTAATCCCAGCACTCAGGAGGCAGAGACAGGGAGATCTCTGTGGGACGAGGCCAGCCTGGTCTACAGAGAGAGTTCTGGGACAGTCAGGGCTACAGAGAGAAACCCTGTCTCAAGAAAACAAACAAACAAAAAAGGTTATATCTACTAAAAATTTAACTTACACCATATCTTCGGGTACCAGCCAGCCAACCTCCAAAAACAGCCCTCCAAAGACTGGAGGAAAGACTTGTATAAAGTTACTATGAAAACCCAAGGGGGGTGGAGGTACCTGATCGCAGCTTCAGGAGCAGCTGCTGTGGTTGGATCTGAGTTATGTCCTCTGGCTGGAGCTTCTCTGCTGTTCCTCTGTTGCGGTTGGTGACGTTTTTATTTTTCTTTATAGTTTGGGAGCCTCTTGGGTTTTCTATGTCACTTGGCTGGCAGCCCTTCTTTTTTAATGCTTCTAAATCATCACAACGTGCCGAAGTAGGCATTCCTTCTTGTAAAAATGTCTAAGTGATATGTAAAATATGACATTAGCAAAACCATTTTGATATATTATTGCATGTAAACAAATTACAAAATCATTCATTTCTAGGTTTTAACAAAATTTTCCCTTCATCCACATCATAACAAGTGCCCTTATACAAAAACAAGTAAAATCAACCCCGAGAAAGTACTCTTTCCCCAGACTAAGTGCTATTTTAAAGCTTCACCTTTCAAGTCCAGACTGTGTCATCACTAACTACATCCTTCGGTTCTCGGCATGCTTCACAGGCCCTCATACAGCAGCCAGACATTCCTCCAAACCTTTCTCTTATAAATGTCTTTACAAGGTCTTTCATGTTATGTCATACACTTCCCAGCAGAGCAGTAAACAACAGGAGGCTTAGGAAAAGCACATTAGCCTAAATACAACCCAACCAATAATGGTCCGTGTGTATGTACAGAAAATATACCACAAATTTACCTGACTGACTGAATTTTTTTTTTTTTTTGAGAGAGAGAGAGACAGGGTGGTTTCTTCTGTAGCCTGTCCTGGAATTTACTCTATAGATCAGGCTATCTTTGAACTCAGAGATCTTCCTGTCTCTGCCTCCTGAGAGCTGGGATTAAAGGAGTACATCACTGCCTGGCTGAAATTTTTTTAAATGCTGGCTATTAAATGAGATTTGTTTTCTTAATTTTTATTTTATTTGTATTGTAAGTTGTTTTGCCTGCATGTGAATCTCTGCACTGCATGTGAGGACTAGAAGAGAGTGTCACATCCCCTGGTACTGAAGTTACCGAGTGACTGTGAGCCTCCATGTGAGTGCTGAGCATAGAGCCTGTGTCTTCTGGGAGAGCAGGCAGTGCTCGTCTCCAGGGCTCTCTCCAGCCCCAGAGTCTACAAAAACCAAGGTGGGGAACAGGAGATGGTTTAGTGGGCAAAGTGATTGCCATACAAGCAGGAGAACCTCAGTTCTGACCCCTAGCATCCACGTGGCAGTGAGCATCTGTAACCTTGGCTCCCAGTAATGGAGGACAGAACAGTGGGTTCTTGGATCCATTGTGGAACCCAGTGTTCAGCCAGGCTAGCTGAAACAGCAAGCTCCAGGTTCAGTAAGAGATCCTGTCGCTTAAAAAAATAAGTTAGAAGGGGCTGGAGAGATGGTTCAGTGGTTAAGAGCACTGGCTACTCTTCCAGAGGTCCTGAGTTCAATTCCCAGCAATTACATGGTGACTCACAACCATCTGTAATGAGATCTGGTGCCCTCTTATGGCATGGAGAAGGAACACTGTATACATAACAGATAAACCTTTAAAAAAAAAAAAGAAAAGAAAAAAAGCTGGAAAGCAACACAAAAACACTGCTGTTTGCTCTCACCTGCAGCACAGACACGTGAATGTGCACACACATACACAACACAAGGCAATGTAACACAGCAAGAGCATTTATACACCCAGGGCCAGGGTCAAAACCGAAGTATTTTATTTACTATCAAACCTCAAACTGAACAAAGTACAAGCTCCTAGGGAATTCTCCATTTCCAAGTACTTAACCAATCCAGGAAGCCTCATAAACCTCAAATAAAATCCCACTTAACACTTTCCACAAGAACCTTTAATAACTGAGAAGTTATACCCCAGATTTCAGAAGCTAAAGTGTGCAACTCTGGTTAGGTAAGTTTCAACTACAGATAAACTTAGGTCCATACAATGGATGTTGATGGTGTCGGCAGCTGTTAGATCAACAGAGTCTGTGAAGTGAACCTGCCTTTCTAATCCACCATTTCTAACTGCAGCCTGGTAAAGCATGAACTATGGCCCTCACTCTCCAGAGAAGGAGCCAGAGCTTCCGTCAGCATTTCCTAAATTTCCCCAATTTCGCCCCAGCATGCCACTTGTAAGACAGTACCATGAGAAAAATTCTGAAATAAAACAAAAACTTCTCATTGTATCTTTCACTTGTCAGATCCTACGTCATATCTGACATCTGGTCAGTTAAGCCTTTTGGGTACAAGCACCTGAGGGAAGACATACACAACGACCCTAGCATAACCTCAAATTGATTCGCTGCAGTTTTAGTAAGCTGTCTATAGGGGACCACCACGTCAGGCAAAGTACAAAATCTTTAAAGGAAATAAATGCAAATCCAAAATCCTGACCTCGAATTTGCTTTAACTTCCTTTCACTGGGCTACGTTTTGAGGCTCAAAAGGCCCACCATTCCCAGTTAGCTCTCTGCCTCATGCTGTGGATCAAGACGTGAGCTCCCAGCTGCTGCTCCAGAGCCCGTCTGCTGCCTGCTCACTGCTATCATGGGCATGGACTAACAGTGCTGTGCTGTGGGAATGCTCTTGTACACAGTAAAGATTTACACTGTAAAGATTTAATAAGTGGCTTATTAAAGTGCTGATTGGCCAGTAGCCAGGCAGGAAGTATAGGTGGGGCAACAGGACTAGGAGAATCCTGGGAAGAGGAAAGAGAGTCAGTCACCAGCTAGACACAGAGGAAGCCTGATGAAAGGCCTCACTGATAACAGGTACCAAGCCACGTGACTAAACACAGACAAGAATGTTGGGTTAATTTAAGTTATAAGAGTTCATTAGTAATAAGCCTGAGCAATAGACCAAGCAGATTATAATTAACATAAGCCTCTGTGTTTCTTTGGGACTGAACAGCTATGGGATTGGGTAGGACATAAACGTCAATCTACACTGCTGTGAAACCCCAAATTAAATATTTTGTTTGTTTGTTTTGTAAGTTGCCCTGATCATGGTGTTCTGTCACAGCAACAGAAAGTTAAGACACATGTCTAGTGGGTGCTTTGTCAGTGGCACTGTCTGACCAACACACACTACTCAATAAACACTGATTCAAATGTGCATCTTATCAGGAACTTCCCAAAGATAAAGCTCTGAGTGAAGCTCAAAAACCAGAGAATAAACTGCACAGTATCAGAAGTCTTACCGTATTCGTGCACCACCCACAATTGGGCCCTGCTTGTATGCATTCTCCACAAGATTTGGCATTTGCTTTTAAACATCTATTTTTATCTGTTAAAAAAAAACAAAGAGACAATTTTAAAGTTTCAAAGGAAAAAAAATGAATGGATCACAATGAAAGACAGAGACAGGTGGTAATGCAGATAAAGATAGGTGTTAAACATGAACACTCCAGCCTAGTTACTAAGCTACAAGAGGCCAGTCCAAAGAAAACCTAAAGGAATCCCCCTTGACACTGAGAGTCACCAATGGGCAGTCATCTTGTTCTCTGTATGACAGACCAACTAGGAACCATTAGCCTAGCTATACAGCAGTGGACCATTCTGGTAAAAGTATGATTTCAGAACATGTCACTCTCAATGATTATGATGTCCTGCTTATGCCTAGGTCAGGTTTTGCCTTTTCCTATGCCTCACAATCCCACACCCACACCACAAAAGCATCTTCCGGGAGGTCACTCCACTTTGAGTACATTAAATAACTCCAAGTCCATTTTCATCCAAACCCCTTGAGTTTACATTTCTTTGACTCAATCTAAACTGAATCATCTTTCTGGTAGTAAACACTAGTAAGATTAGATTATCTCTAGTTTATCTTTTCTGATTAGCATATAAACTATGCTTGAATTAAAAAAAAAAAAAGAACTAGAGATCTCCACAGTCTACTCACTGAAAGAAAATCCCTCCAACAATGTTTAGGTGTGGTCCTCGGGATACAGGTTCTGGGTGGTTTTTTATTTTATGTATCAAATGTATCAAGTTTTCTATTCACTATCTTTCATCATTGTCACATGACCATCCTGAGCTCAGATCATTCTAACTATTCTATTTACTGTGGGTTTTTTGCTTGTTTGTTTGTTTTTGAGATTTAGACAGTAGAACCAGGTGTCCATTATTCCAGATGTAGATGGTTGCCAGAAGAAGTTAAAATGTCTTCAGCTTGCTCCACACTTATAGATACACTAACAATATTTGAGACTTCTTGATCACAGAACAAGAGTATCTTCTAGAAAGTAAACTGCTCCTGGGTTTTCTTTTGTTTTTTATGTGCTCAGAACCTAGAGCTTTGATTGAACCATAACCCCAACCCTTTGGATTTTGTAAACTGGGGGGCACGGGATGTTGTGTCTAGTCCAGACTAGCCTAAAACTCAAGATCCTCCTGAGTGTCTCTGCCTCCCAAGTGCTGGGATCACGGCATGTGTCACCACGCTCCCCCTTGCTTCGGTTGTTTAGATGCCAACGGACACGTCATATGAAAATACTGCACACCTCAGCCCTCATTCTGGTCCCTCGGCACTCTCACACTCTCCAGGGGCCGTATGGTCCTCTCACGGAAAGGAGGGATGATTAACTGGTGCTAACAAGCCTTGCAGGCCCCTTAGAAACCTCTGCTCACAGAGGCAGCGTGCCACAGAACTTCAGGAATAGTGTGATCTAGTGGAGGGTTGTCTTCCCACCCCACGCCCCCAGGAACCTAACTGACCAAAGATTATTGATCCAAGACACTAAAATAAAAAGATTACAAGAAAAACAAATTTTTTTTACCTGTTTGGCCAAATACGGAACAAATCAAGCTGATGAATCCAATCCAGAAAACCAGTTGCAAATTCATCTACAACAGAAAGTGTGTATCATTACTGAGAGAAAATATCAGGTGAATTGTGTTCAACCTTCCCTTCTTTCTCCTCTCCAAACTTCTCCACACTGCCATCTGCCTTCGTCCCTGCTCACCATACCATTCACCCTACTGTTCTAACACTTCACACCACACTTTCAGAATGCGTTCCTGTCTTCTCTATGAAATGTCTCAGTATTCAATTAAATATCACAAAATTATACATCAAGCCAGGCAGCGGTGCACACGCCTTTAATCCCAGCACTTGGGAAACAGAGACAGGTAGATCTCTATGAATTCGTGGCTAGCCTAGTCTACAGAGCTAATTCCAGGACAAGCAGGGCTACGTGAAGAAACCCCATCTTGAAGGAAAACAGTAATAATAATAATAAATACACATGCAGTCCTAAGACCACAAAGGTATGGCAGTTTATCCTACACAATGTCCCTGGAGCTCTCAGTCCAACAGGCACACCCAGAGGCGCAGTCACCTCGGAACTAGGGTACTTCCCAGAGCTGACTCAGCCACCTCCACACCGACATCTCCTCTACAGTTCCTCTCCTCAGGCTAAAACACAGCTGCGTATCCAAGACTTTGACTCAACTGTTTGTTTTGCTTTCTTGTTATATTTTTCTTTTGCAAGAAAACCAACTATGCATGGAATGGTAAAATATTCAGCTTGTTTCCCTCAACTTTCCATAACAACAAATGACCTCACTATAGACCCAGAGTCTGTAGTGTCCTTCAGAATCTCATGGGGGGGGGGGGGGGGGAGCAGACAGCTCAGATAATATTCTATACATTAAACTTCTAATTATTACCTCTATTTCTAGTGAACCAATGTTTTCAGTTCCACGATTTATCCCTAATCAAGTATGCTCAAAGATGGCTGAGCTCAGCCTGCTCGGCTAACACCTTAACTGCCCACTCTCCATAGACACCTCCAGTCTACTACACATGCGCATGCATCTGTGTTACCTACAGAATGAAAGGGGAGCAAGGAATGTTGGCATGGGAATAATTCCAGAATGTAAGAGGGAGAAACAGAAAGATTACCATAAGTTCAAAGCCAGTCTGGTTTACACAGTAAAATCATGGTTTTGAGAGACAGAAAAAGAGAAACCAGGAAGGTAGAAAAAGGAAGATCAGAAGTACAAGGTCATCACCCTTCCCTACTTAGCAAGTTCAAGACCTTGTCTAAAAAAGAAAAGTTCTCTAAATTCTACATTAAAGCTCTTCATCTTCAAGCCCTTATATTTCACACAACACAGGCCCCTTCACACGAGGAGTAAAGACAGGCATATTACTGCTCCATGAGACGTGGTCCTAACCCTGGGATGAACATTGCTGCTCCTCTGCTCATGCAGACTTCCCAGAGACAAGAGGGGGAGGCTCTGGGAGTCATCCACCTGCAATCAGGGTTACTCCAGGAAATGAGTCGCTCCTGGAGCTGACAGGTTACGCAAATGGCTTGGGACTGCATCCAAGTGCTGACTAAAACCTGAGTGTCAAAAAAGCACGATGTTCTAATGTTTCTCTAAGGTCAACGCAATCCTCAACAGTGACAGAGAGCAGAGAGCACGTCACTCCCGCAGAAGTGGATGACCACAGCACCTGTATTCAGATAATGTATTCCTTCAGGCTACTTCATACTTGCTGGCCAGCCTTGAGAAATCTTTCAAAATACCACACAAGTCAGAGAGGCACGCAGTGATCCAGTGAAGGATGCTTTTCAGCATGCTGCACTTTAAAGCATTCCTGTAAGATCCACAGCCCTCTACTTCTACAAACCCTGGTAGTTCATAGAAACTAAGGCCCTCTGGAAGTGTGCCAAGCCCAGAAGCAAGCAAAACAATACTCAAATGCTCGAGAACAGCTGAGAGAACAAGGACAGCTCTGGACACAGTTTGGAGACAGTTATCAACTCTCCTGTAAGCTAGCAAGAAAACAGAGACGCTGTTGTTGCTTGGTGGCGTTCATAAAGGCTGGGTTTTAGAGACAGGAAGTAGTAAGAATCCAGCAGGGCTCTAGGAACAATGATAGTAACTAGAAAGAGCAAGTGCCAGGCTGGAGAGATGGATCAGCTGAGGTTCTAAGTTCAATTCCCAATAACCAGGTGGTGGTTCACAACCATTAGTAATGAGATCTGGTGCCCCCTTCTGGCCTGCAAGCATACATGCAGGAGAAACACTGAATACATAATAAATAAATAAAATATTTAAAAGAAAGAGAAAGAAAGAAAGAAAAAAAGAAAGAACGAACGAAAGAACTGAGCGGTGGTGGCGCACACCTTTAATCCCAGCACCCGGGAGGCAGAGGCAGATGGATCTCTGTGAGTTTGAGGCCAGCCTGGTCTACAGAATGAGTTCCAGGACAGGCACCAAAAAAAAAAAAAAAAAAAAAAAAGGAGGGAAGGGAGGGGAGGAGGGAGGGAGGGAGAGAGGGGGAGGGAGGGAGAGAGGGAGGAGGGAGGGAGGGGGGAGGGAGGGAGGGAGGAGGGAGGAAAGAAAGAACGACTGGGAGGGAGCGTGAGGTTGAGACCACACTGACAGTGACCCTGAGGGAGTCAGCACAACTGGCGTCTAGACCAAGTGACGCAGAGTGGGGGAGGCTTGAGATAGACTGTGTCAGAGTTCACGCAGATGTCCTCCTTCCCAGGCCTAAAGCCATGAGCTTGGAGAAACAAGGCCTGTTCAGCAGGTGACCCTTATGTTGAGGAAGGGGGCTTACAGGTTCCCTATCAATGATATCTCACTGAAGACAAATCATCAGAGAAAACGCCATGAGACATGGTCCTAACCCTTTGCTTTTATCTTAGACAAAGGTTTTTACCTGGCCTGGTCTACATTTCGTCTCCTGAAACTGCTGCAGCTGACAGACAGAGATACTACTGACCACACAGGGACTAACCCTGGGAAGGACATCGTCTCAGGCCCCATTCACTTACAAACTCCTTGACTACGTGGTAAACCCTTCCCCAGACTGCTTTGGGTTGGTGCTCTATCACAGCAACAGAAAGGTAAGTAGGACACTCCCTTCCCATGTCCTTTGCTCTCTTCATCTCTGAGGGTCCTTCTTCAGACAGCCACGTCAGTTTTGTGTCCTCCCTATAATACAAATGCCTCAAGGAACTAACAGTTCATAGACAAAAATGCAGACAATTACCATACAGTAACCATTTCTGTGCAGAGGATGCATGTGGCTAACGTCTCCAGAAAGAAGCCGCAAGCAAACTGAAGCTTCTGTGACAATGCTTACAACTTCAACACCCGCGGAGCGTGAAATGCTGCATATTATCCTGAGCCTTCTTCCCTCTTAATAGCCATTTACTGCCCACTATTCTACTGGGGTTTCTGTTGCTGGGTTAAAGACCATGGCCAAAGGAAACTTAAGGAGAGAAGGGCAGGAAAGACAGGAACGGAAGCAGAGACCACGGAAGACTGCCGCTCTCTGGCTTGCTCTTGGTAGCTTGCTCAGTTTGATTTCTTACACCACACAAGCACCTGCCCAGGAGTAGCACCCCACACACAGTGGGCTAGGCCCACCAACAACAATCACTAATCAAGAAAATGCCCCCTACATGGGGAACAATCTGATGGGAGCATCCATCCAATCAAAATTCCCTGTAAATTTATCCCTGTAGGTTCGTGTCGAATTGAAAAAAATCAACCAGTACAGCCTCCTCTATACAAGACCTACCAATCAGCTTTGTGACCATTAGGTTAATCCTTCCAAATGGAGAAACAAAGCACTAATTATCTTTTAGATACTTACTTAGCAGTCTACTTCAGTCAATGCAAAGTTAAGAGTGTCACCACGTATTCCTTTATTCTGGGCTTAAGGTTTCAGAGGGTTATAGTTCATGATGGCAAAGCAGAGGTACTCCTGCTCCAAGTTATAATTTTTCCTATCAGATAATTGCCCTCCTTTGAGATGCTAAACTCTTTACTCAAAGGATTAAGAAAATGTCTCACCTGTGTAGTTTCGATTTAATGTTTGTATGTATGAGTATACACACATAAACATTAAAAACCTTAAAGGTATTTTTTTACCAATACTCCCTCTACAACAAGGTTTTTCAAGGTCTTTATCATAGCCTATGTGTGATACAATTCTAAACATTCAAAAAAAAAAAAGACATTTGTTGAGTGGTGGTGGTGTACACCTTTAATCCCAGCACTGGGGAGGCAGAGGGAGGTGGATCCCTGGGGGTTCAAGGCCAGCCTGGTCTACAGAGCGAGTTCCAGGACAGGCTCCAAAGCCACAGAGAGACACTGCCATGCCTGCTACTTACTGTGGTGCCACCCTGGCATGGTGGACTCTTACTCTCTCTCCTAAAACCCTAGGTCAAAACAAACTCTTCCTTAAGTTATCTTGGTCATGGCCTTTTGTCACAGCAACAGCAAAGTAACCAGCACTGTCCTCCAACAGAGAAGTCACTTGGGATGCAGAGACAGAATACTAGTTATCTTCTGGAATGTGCTGACTCAGCAGATGACTGACTTCCACCAACCCGAAAGCTAGCACCTGAGGCCAGCTGAGATTTCCCTAATTTGCTATAACCTATCTCTCTAATGTCTCAACCACTGTACTTTGGAAGTATCTTAATTTATGGTTTTCTTTGTTCTGTTACATAAAACTATTGTCACACTGGAAAACGGAATCTAGGATCACCTAAATCTGTGTTCCCAGGTCATGGTAACTGGTATCTATTTCCAGAATACCCTACCCTTTTTGAGGAGAAAGCTGTGTTTTACATCAGCACAGAGCACACCTAACTGTCTAACTATGTGGAGACGGCAGGGTTGCAGTTAGAATGGAGGGCTATGTGCAGAAGACAGCGGAGAGAAGCCACCTCAGCAAGCCTGCACATGCGAGGCTGGGGAGGCTGAGGAAGGCCATACAATCTTTTTCTAATATTGTGTCTAAGCACATATTTTGAGGTGTCTCCCTCACACTGGATTGTCACTTTCTCTCCATGAATTTATGGTTTTGT